TTTTTTTTTTTTTTTTTAGATTTTTCGATATTTCATCGATAATATTCTCCTTTTATTATTTGATACGTGATTGATTATTTTGTTCTAAAAAAAAAAGAAGAAAATAAAAATTAGTGTTGATTTATTCGTACTCGTATCACGTATACTTGTGATATTTTATCGATATTTGGGAAATAAAGATTGTGAAATTTATTCGTTATTTTCATAAAAGTTCTCGCGTGATTCGACGAATGATGTAAACGCTGGTATTGGAGTTTAATCAGGAAGAGCGAAACTTGAATTAGCCACGTGCTTCGCTGTGAGTAAAAATGTTTTCCGCTTTTATATTTTATATTTACTGTGTTATGATAAAAAATGCAATTACATGTTAATCTATTTTGTAATTTTGCTTTTTTTTATTTTGTCTATTATGTACGATTGCGATATAGGAAAATATGTATAAAACGAGATTTCATAGATAGCAATGTAAAGCATTGCCTATTTATATGAATATATGAATTCCATGCGCATTAATATACTTACTTTTATGCCTTGTCATTATTAACTTTAATACATGAATTTTTATAAAAATTTTAAATCAATCGGAGTGGCAAATCGTGTATCAAACTGTTGTAGCACAAAGATAAAATAATATCAGGAAAAAAATGAAGATTAAAATTTCAATGGAAATATTATAGATAATTTCGAGAAAATACTTTATTTCGTAAACAGAATAAAAAAAAAAATAACCTTCAATAAAAATTCGTTATAAATTTTATGACTTAATAATGTGTCTAGTAATCTGAATTATGCAGGAAAAATGTACAAAGAATTCGAAGAATCGTATTGATTCTTCTACTCAAGAAACGATTATTCACACGATGCAGAATCGATCTTCGAAAAATTATGAAAGTACGATCGATTCATTAAGTTAAAGTGATCGGTTTAATGAATATAAAATATATGTAATGAGGATTTAATATCAACGTTCGATTATGTAATTCTTATATGAATAGAGAATAAATAAGTAAAAACGGCAAAGATATTTTATACGAATATTGAATGACAATGCAATTTTTGAATCGAGAAAACTCGTCTCAATTTAAATATATATTTTCGAATCGAAAAATGCGCATTGCAATTATTTTATCACTCATCGTGACTGTTAAATTAACACAATGAAAAATATTGCAAACACAACGTGATATTAATCGTCAAAGAATTTGCAGAATGAATTAAAAACTGGATTGGGCAAATATTGGAAGTGCTTACAATGTCAATTTCACTGATTTTATTCCTTTTAGTGGTCATAATAGTCGTAATGAGAAATTGCTCTTGCATTATTCAGATAATATAACGTTATATCACTGGTCTAGCTATCAATAATCAACCACCATGTTATCTTACAATTTATACGTATATTTTTTTTTTTAAAATTACAATTTAATTTTGTTTAATTGACTATCTCAAATTGATTACAAAGAATTAAATTGATTATCATTATTCATATATCTCTATCATTATTAATAAAGATATACAAAGTGTACTATAACAAGTGGATTTCAACGTTTAAAAATATAAGAAATTAATATATATGTTTATTGTAAATTTTATATTGTATTAATTCGTATCTGATGAGAGTATTTGAAATTTGGACATGATTAAATATTTCCACTGCATTGTCTTTGTAGCTATTGTTCAAGTATTTTTTGATGTTCACTCGAATTTTAAAGAAACTCCTGTCCAATTCTTCAACCGGAATATATCCAAATATTTCTATAAATATATAAATAAATATCTAATTTTATTTTTTTTAATTTATTTTTTTCGTTTCTTCAAATAATAAACAAAAAAAAATTTTAGACGGATGCATTTAAGGATGTGAATTGGGACTTATTATTTTTCGTTAGAAGATAAAATGTTGAGAGTGAAAGTTACTATCGGATAATCTCGACGCAGTTGTCCATTTGCGAAAAAATTGCAACTCTCGACCCTAAAAGAATATATTTTTTTACAAATACTGCAATTGAAAGTGACTTTATTGTAACTTTCACTCTCGTCAAAATGTTCAACTGAAGATATAATTCCATTATTGAAAATATAATTACAAATTTATTACATCTCGTAAGCAAAGCAATCAGATAAAAAAATACATATAACTTTTTTCTCATTGTTTCTGCAATACGTATTCTCCATTTATTATATATTATTCTACATATGAATGGAATACAATTTGCAAAAAACAATGCGGTATCCTCTCGTCGAAAGAATGCAAGGTCGTTCATTTTTTTGCCTTTTGCCGCGATATGAGCTTCGACCTTTCGCGAATTGATCACGAAGATCGTTGAATGCTATATGAGTTTCGTGTCGGAATTTCATCACGCCCCCACGAGTTCGCTATTAAATTCTGAACATTTTATTCCTCCATCGATCTCTAACAAGAACATGTTATTCGAGAAAGAGGGGTTGAGAAAAATTAATACGATCATGCACGTGTAAACTGGTGAAAAATTGGCTCCTTTTATCCACTTATCCATATAATTTCCTCCAATAATTTTTGTTTTATCTTTTATTTTTCGGTAAAAGAATTTGGTGTTGACAAACACACAATGTGAAAAACATTTTTTATTATTCCTAGCGAGAGAAATAGACAAGAAATTAATTAGGATCAATAATTGCTATTAAAAGGTTTATTCGCGTGATTACAGTCGAATTATGTTTGATCATTGCGTGCGCGATCTCGATAAATATATGGATTTAAGGAAGTTGCATAAAAATACGTGACATTATTGCAACATTTTTAGATAAATGTGTCGAGGTTTCAATTATAGTTAATTGATAAAAGAGAATAGATAAAAACTTCCATATATATAGAATTGCATTGAATTGCGTTTCATGTGAATAGATTAATAATTGACTGTTTAAATAATATAACAGATGTCTGCGGTAATAATAATGCATAGAGCTTAATAGTTAAATCGCCAAAGTCATTTATTCATAATGTAATGATACCTATTAATGTCTATTAGCATTTCACAGTGATTTATAAATCGCATAATTTTTTTTTTTTTTTATTTAAACCATCTATCAATTGTCCAAAGCAATAAATGTTAAAATAATAGATTTTTATATCTGGATTTAATTTTTTCACGTGTTGTTTCTCTATCCTAGGTGCTTCGTTAAGTTCTTTTTTCGATTGGAAGTGCGATCGACCGGCATAAAGATGGAAGAGTCTCAAAGGTAAGGAATTGGCTGTTCGTCAATGCAGCAACTGTGCTCATAATTGCTCATAAATATCGATTAGATGAATATATTGTCATTAAACAGTTGTTGAGACTTATACGTATTTATGTCATGAAAATAACACAATAAAAGAAAGGAGTCGAGTGTAAACGTCTATTGAATATCGAGTCTTAAGTTAGGATCGAAGAATAAGTGGATTCGGACGATCATCTGTCAAACACATCGAATTAAGAAAAATTTTTCCTCGCTTGATTAATGTCTCCTGTAGATGTTGACGAACTTTTTTTTTTTATTACGATTGTCCAAAAATCAGGATTAAGATTTTTTAAAATAGATAAATCGTGTACGTTCGTTTCCTCACAAATAATACATTTGCAAATAAATATTTCTTCGAAATAATAATTGTACAAAGAAATAGCAAACTTTAGAAATAGCAAACAAAGTATTATTACAATATTTTAAAAAAGAATTATATTATTTTATATAACATAAAAAAACTCGATCTATTTCTAATCTAACAAACAAAAAATGAAAAATAATATATATAATTATTTTCGATTCTTATTAGTTTCGAGTAAATTGAAAATAAATATTTCCTTTGTTAAAAAAAATTTATCAAAAAGAAACAATCGTTCTAAGATCGTATAGTAAGAATAATCCAAATCCGTTTTCTCTTTGATCCTATTTGACGCGTAACCATATCGCGATTGACATTTTTTCATTTCATTTTTTGCTCTCCTTCTTTTCTTTTCGTTCTCTATAATTCAATTGATTCCTTGGTTTCTATATAAAAATATCAATCTATTACGCAGATACGAAGATCATACCATATATAAGACACGATCACCCTGCAGCCTGCGAAAACTGAGAGGTAAAGGACTCTTCAAACTATCAAATCGTAAAAGATCGTACAATCTTTGCATAGAAATACAGTATTGAGTGTATCGCGAAAAAAAAAAATAAATAAATAAATATTCGAGTCATTAGAAAAAAGAGAAAAGTGAAAGTCAAATAGATAGGCTTTAAAGTGATGGTGGCTCCGATCAGAGAACATGTTCGCGTTTCCAGACATGGTGCCGGCAAGAGTGGTGCTCTATATGCTCTCCTTCTCGGGGTTCACGGTCTCGTTCATGATGAGGAACGATATCAATATCGCCATGGTGGCGATGGTGAAACCCCCATCCATGACATCGGACACCAATGTAACTGTGACGTCCCAGCATTGCTACGTAACACCACCAACGGTTATCAACAACAGCGTGCCGATCAAACTTGAGGTAAAAATCGGTGACGATCGTTACGAATAAAAAGAGATCTTGGCGTATTTTATCGATTCTCGCGACATTGGACATCGCGTGGACGTGTTAATTGTAAAATCGATGAAGCACAATTGTGTACGTTGATTTGAAATGGATAGCATTTTGCAGAAGCGAAAAATAAAAATTGTTCAACGATTTAAAGTTGAATTAAATTTTTTTCTGGTCGATCTTGGTTAGTTTCTTAAGAGATATAAGACTTCTTTTCTCTGTTCTGTAATGGACAATTAATTTCTCCAAAATTGATATCTGATGGACTGATTCGTAAAAAACATTGTTTTTCTCTTCTGGCGTGTGTACAATGGACATCGGTATTTGTAATGACGTTGCACGATTACGTTTATAGATCGTATCAATTACAGTCGATTGTAATTAGAAATCTCGTCCACGTAACGTCACGTGTCTCGATCGGCGAAAACTATGGATTATGAAATCTTATTAACAGTAGGACTTAATAATCCCTGACACTCGTTAACTCTTTCCGCCATTGGGCTGAAACTGATAGGATGATTAAAATCACGATCACATTACGATTTACTAAGACGTGGTTAGGAAGTTTGCGCGTTCTTATGCAACCATAACGTGGTATTATCGAATAGAAATCACAGATTGCAATTTTAGTCGTAGTAACTTCTACGAATCCTGTAATGCAAAATTGAAGAGGAAAGATTAATTTGCAAATATATCTATATTTTTATGTAATAACATTTTGTAATTATATTAACTGAACTAAATTCTTATCAAAAATAGAAATAATATAGGAAAAAAGACCATTAATAAAAATAAATTAATAATTATGTTAATAATTATGTTAATAATTATTAATTTATTTTTATTAATGGTCTTATGTAAAATGTTAACAAAATTTTTCTCAGAAAACCAAATCGAAACAAATATCGAACAAATTTTTAAAAAATTTTGTTTAATAAATAATAATATATAAATAAGTCAAAATTGCGGAAATGTTTTTCTTCTTTCTTGAAAATATAATTTTTCTTATCGATAAGCATTATAATTATAAATAATATGTGCTTTATCTATATAATTTGTAGATAAAAAAGATGATAAATAAAACAAAATTATGTAAATTTTTTTCTTTGATATTGTGAAATAAAAATTTTCTACTGATAATTATATATAATTGAAACAAATTTACTTTATCGATAATGAATAAGAACAAAATTGTGATGAACAAAAAAATATTAAAATATATTAATAAAAATATATTGCGAATATTTTTACCGTTTCTTTTGCAGAAATCTTCATTTCTACAAATGTGAATTAAAAAAAAAAACAAATATAAATATTATTTTTCTTCAGGATCAAGGGGAATTTGATTGGAGTCCAACCATACAATCCGCCATTAGCGGTTCATTCTATTGGTGTTACATACTGTCACAAGTAGTTGGTGGTGTGCTCACACAGTATTTTGGCACAAAAGCTGTTTTCGGCGGTTCACAACTGATCACTGCGATCTGCAGTTTATTGATGCCTTCTGCAGCAGGAATTCATTATGGATTCATGATTGCGCTTCGCAGTATACAGGGTGTCGCGAGTGTAAGTATACTTCATATTAAAAAGAAAAAAAAAAAAGAATAAATTAATAAATCGACATTGAAGAAATTTTATACACGTATATTAATCCTTATTATTAATCTTTCAAAATGAGTCCATTACCTGTGTCCATTTAGGGACTCACATGGCCCGCGATGTACGCCATTGTCGGACACTGGATCCCGCCAGTGGAGAGGTCACGTTTCATGTCTTCCTTCCAAGGTAAGTATCATCCTCCCTCTATTCTTGTACATTGTAACGAAAATTCGACACGCACGCCGCCAGAAATACACGAAACTATAGAAATCTAATTTCAATTCCGTCTGATCGTCATTCTTCCTTTTCTTTTTTTTTTTTTCTCCCTTTTTCTGTTTTGGTTTCAACGATATGGATAATGATTAATACAGTCTGACGCTTCTTTCAGAATAGGAGAAGCGGAAGTTCGAATGAGAAGCACATTTTATCCTATAAGAAAAGAGAAAAAGATAAACGAAAGGTTTTGTTATTTTCAGTCAAAATTCACGGATCAACAGATATATACATATACATATAATACGTATTATTATATGTTGATTTTGTTGATCGAGAAAAGGACGGTTCTTTCATTTTCTTCTCTGATTGCTTTTTAAGCTCCACTTGGTTGCATTCGCCGGAGCGAGGGGTATACTCATCAGCAACCGCTCAACAGCATGAGAAAGGCCCGAGTATACTTCCAGCTGGTAGAATCAGCCGGGCAATCGACAGCAACACGTTTTGTATACACGTTATTTCTCATTGTTATCTATTTTATACTGTGTCAGTCCTGCCGACTCAGCGAGAATCTATCATATACGCCTTTGTTCACAACCGGCCGATGTAATAATCATCCTTCTCACTCAAACTTACCGGAAACGAATGATAATAACGATGATTTTATTTTGTTTTATATATTTATATACCCGTGTGTATACACACATTTTTTTTATATAAATATATATTTTTTTTGTTTCCTTTTCATTCGCGTCGTGACGGCCTAGCCTTGGTGCGTGCAATATCTCTCTGCTATTGTCGATTATGCGAATCGTTTATGATCTTTTGTTTCGCTGATTATGCGTTATATTATTATTGATCGTATGTAACTTCGTTCTGATCGGTATATTGACGTAGCAGCAGAGGAATGCGAGTTCGTATGTGTTACTATCGTCATGAAACCCTGTACCATGTTAATAATCAAGGCTGGATTTGAGATAAGAGAGAAAATTATACCCCTCAAAGAGATTCATGTGTGATGATCCAGTTTTTTCTCGAGTCAGCTTTATTATCAATGGATAACGCACTGAAGGTGATTCAATAGTTATTCATAATGTAATTGGAAAATTTATTAATTTTTACAATAATATTATTTCCTAATATACTCTCTTTGCTTTATATATAAGTCTTTTTATATTCTTCTCAAAAAACATTTTTAATGATTCTAACGATCATTAAATTTTATCTCCATATTTTGCTGAGAATCTCTTATAAATTCGTAACCTTTGATATATCTTCAAACTAATTAGCACGTTGCTCTTTCTCGTAATAAAACCATGGTCGATAAAGCATTTAATAATTATCGAATCATCCTCGTATAATATTCATCGAAATTTTCGAAATTGCAATAGAGAACGTCGAATGGAGACATGAACCTCTTTGATAATTTATAAATTCAAGTGAAACGAATTGAAAAAAAGAATTCAGGAGTGAGTCGGTTCGAAGGCGTTCGTTGGCGCTCTTGATATAGTTTCAGGTATAGAAGTTTCATTGTTCCACTGTAGACACAGCATCGTCTCACGTGCGCTCATCCTCATCCCGTCGTACTAAGTCACTACTTGAATCGCTTTACAGGGTGAAATATACGCCACCGCTGAAGAGCGATCGTCGCCACGCATGAATCGTACACGAGCCAAGGCGAAGCCATTCGACAAGCATCATGTTTCAGCTTCCTTCCGGGTTGTGGGGTGAGCTACTCCTAACATCTAGATTATCTATATTCAGGGTTCAGCTTTGGCATCGGGTTAACCTATCCACTGTGCGGATTCATCATTGCTCACTTCGGATGGAGAGCCGTCTTTTATACTACCGGCAGCATCGGTATGATCTGGTGCTTTTTCTGGTACTTCTTCGCCTTCGACACGCCGGCCTCTCATCCCAGAATATCCCAGCAGGAGCTACGATACATTCAAGGAAGTGTAGGGAATCAAGTTAGAGACGAGGTAAACCGGCGATGTTCGAATATTCTTTCTCTAATTCTAATAATTCTAATAATCAAGTTTTAACAGGAACGAGAATTTTAAATTTTAAAATTATACAAATTTTAAGTGTTGGATGTAGGCTCTTTAAAATTCTTCGTAGTCAATTTTCTCGAAAAACGAAAATTATTCTATTTATTTTTGTACGAGGAATCAATCTCTATCTATCAAACATTTTGTGTTTGATTAATTCTTTTTTTTTTTTTTTCTTTTCGTTCGAAGAGTATGCCAGTTCCGTGGAGGTTCATTCTTACATCCTGGCCAGCATGGTCGATCGGGATAACAACGTTCGGCAGGATCTGGGTGCATTATATATTCATCATCTCTGGACCAATGTACATGAAAACAGTTCTAGGATTCAGCATCCAAGCGGTACACGCTTGAAACATTTTTTCAAGTATTTTCTTTTTATAAATTATATCGATGATGAGAATAATTTATTATTATTATTATTTCAGAATGGAGTACTGTCTGGTTTGCCATTCATCTGTAGTTATTTCAGTTCTGTTGCATTCTGCTATATAGCCGACGTTCTGATCACACGACAGATTTTGTCGTTGACGAATGTCAGAAAAGTGTTCACCGCCTCTTGTACGTATTCCTTAGAATCAACTTTCTAAAAATATTCCTCGTCAATAGATCGTGTAACGCCAAGATTGTTTCGCAGCTCAAGTAGCTCCTGGTATAATGTTGGTGTTAATTGGCTATCTGGGCTGCGACATCGTCCTCGTTTTAGTGGTCTGGTTCGTAGCCGTCACTCTTATCACTGCTGCCTATGCAGGAGCTATGGCAAATATCGTCGATATAGCGCCAAATTTTGCTGGTAAGTGGCTAATTAAATATTGCGAACGATATTTGCTGAATTATCACGTGGCTCGTTGCTATTAGGACCAATATTGGCGTTTGCACAGACGATTCATATGTCTGCCAGTTTCCTATCTCCCATCGTAGCTGGCCTCCTTACCCAAGAAAGCGTGAGTAAAAATTTTATTATATTTTATTCAGTTGAACTATTCAACAATTCAACTTCTTCGTTCATTCGAATCCCTTTTCCCTTTGATATTATCTTATCTTTCATTTACAATCATTAAATTTCCCACTTTTTCGCACAATGTACTCAGTATTCGTACTCAAAAGTAAGGAAATTCAATTTACAGCAAGCCCTTGATGCATGGAGGCAAGTATTTGGGGTGACAGCTTGCGTCGCGTGCGCTACCTATATCGTTTATCAAATCTTTGGTACGGGTGATGTCCAGCCGTGGAATTATCCTGATCAAAAGTATCCTCAATCTGTACAAGAAGACTCTCAGCCTTTAAACGAATCACCGCAAAAGAACGGAAAAATTGTCACATCTCTGTCAAACATGTCCGAAGAAGCGTAACACAATCGATTTCTCTCGTTGAACGAAGAAAGAAAAAGCGCACGGGTTACGTGACAACTATTACGAGTATTTCTCCTTGGATCTCGAGGAAAAGGCAATCTAAAATTATATATACATATATATATGTATAAGTTTTCGACGTGAAAATGTTTATTTTTTTTTCTCTCTCTCTGTATATCTATGTAAATAGAGATGGTAGTGTGTAAACTGGAGGAGGAGTTGATATAGCACTCAGGGTAATATAAGTAATGTTGTAACGTTTCAAAGAATATTTTTATGAGGACAGTCTCGGGTAACGAGCAAAACGCTTCGTTTATTCGCCAATTTTTGCGTTTGTGAAACGAAGTGAAAGCACAAAAAAAAAAAAAAAATAATGATTGCGTTCCATTTCTTACGATCCGAGACGATTATTTGTCCACTTGCCGTCTCTGTGATCAAACTTTTTTCTCTCTATTTTCCATCTAACAGGGTAGGATGGATCTTATAGAACGTAGAGCACCAAAGCAACAGTTTTCAAGGCTGCAATTTTTAACAATTTTTAATTAAAAAAATTAGGATCCATAAATTTGTTCAATTGTTGATTTTAATAATTTTCGAAGATTTTTCAACAAAAGACTGATCGATTTCTTTCTGATATACACTCGTCCAAGTTTGGAAGCCGTTGCTCTTTGTGTTCTTTATTTTTTCAATATCTCTCTAATATAAATTAATATTTTAAAAATGGTTTAATTCATAAGATTCACGATTTTTTTCCTTTTTTTTTCTTTTTTTTCATTATTGCTATTATTGTTGCGTGCACTACACATTGTTCGTAAAATCTAATAAGCTATTATAATTAGTTTCTTTCTACAATTTTGCCGGTGATTTTATTAACTTATTAACTTATTAAATCGATATTTTATCAACTTGTTAGATGCGTAAGAAAGAAAAAGAGAAAATCCAAATACGCTGTAGAATAGAAGTAGTGAAATTTATAAGATGAAGAGAAAAAGACAGATGAATTATATAAGTATACTATACTAAAAATTGATGCCTTGCCTTAGTCACAATTCTTTTTTGAATTCATTGTAAGAGAACACGTAATATACTTACTTTAGTACTTATATTCTGCGATAAATAAGTCTCATTGTTATATCATTGTTAATATTTACTAGTCATGTTTCGTTGAAAAAAAAA